TTTGTCAAGACTTCTTCGTAAATGTTTTGTCATGACTTCTTCGTAAATGTTTTGTCATGACTTCTTCGTAAATGTTTTGTCATGACTTCTTCGTAAATGTTTTGTCAAGACTTCTTCGTAAATGTTTTGTCATGAACTTCTTCGTAAATGTTTTGTCATGACTTCTTCGTAAATGTTTTGTCATGACTTCTTCGTAAATGTTTTGTCAAGACTTCTTCGTAAATGTTTTGTCATGACTTCTTCGTAAATGTTTTGTCATGACTTCTTCGTAAATGTTTTGTCATGACTTCTTCGTAAATGTTTTTGTCAAGACTTCTTCGTAAATGTTTTGTCATGACTTCTTCGTAAATGTTTTGTCATGACTTCTTCGTAAATGTTTTGTCATGACTTCTTCGTAAATGTTTTTGTCAAGACTTCTTCGTAAATGTTTTGTCATGACTTCTTCGTAAATGTTTTGTCATGACTTCTTCGTAAATGTTTTGTCATGAACTTCTTCGTAAATGTTTTGTCAAGACTTCTTCGTAAATGTTTTGTCATGACTTCTTCGTAAATGTTTTGTCATGACTTCTTCGTAATGTTTTGTCAAGACTTCTTCGTAATGAGTGTAAAGGACCCAAAAATAATGTTTAGGGTAGAAGGTTAGATCTAACCTGTTTTCTAACCTGTTTTCTAACCTCATTTCTAACCTCTTGAATTTTCATGACTTCTTCGTAAATGTTTTGTCATGACTTCTTCGTAAATGTTTTGTCAAGACTTCTTCGTAAATGTTTTGTCATGACTTCTTCGTAAATGTTTTGTCATGACTTCTTCGTAAATGTTTTGTCAAGACTTCTTCGTAAATGTTTTGTCATGACTTCTTCGTAAATGTTTTGTCATGACTTCTTCGTAAATGTTTTGTCATGACTTCTTCGTAAAATGTTTTGTCAAGACTTCTTCGTAAATGTTTTGTCATGACTTCTTCGTAAATGTTTTGTCATGACTTCTTCGTAAATGTTTTGTCATGACTTCTTCGTAAATGTTTTGTCATGACTTCTTCGTAAATGTTTTGTCAAGACTTCTTCGTAATGAGTGTAAAGGACCCAAAAATAATGTTTAGGGTAGAAGGTTAGATCTAACCTGTTTTCTAACCTGTTTTCTAACCTCATTTCTAACCTCTTGAATTTTCATGACTTCTTCGTAAATGTTTTGTCAAGACTTCTTCGTAAATGTTTTGTCATGACTTCTTCGTAAATGTTTTGTCATGACTTCTTCGTAAATGTTTTGTCATGACTTCTTCGTAAATGTTTTGTCATGACTTCTTCGTAAATGTTTTGTCATGACTTCTTCGTAAATGTTTTGTCAAGACTTCTTCGTAAATGTTTTGTCATGACTTCTTCGTAAATGTTTTTGTCAAGACTTCTTCGTAAATGTTTTGTCATGACTTCTTCGTAAATGTTTTGTCATGACTTCTTCGTAAATGTTTTGTCAAGACTTCTTCGTAAATGTTTTGTCAATGACTTCTTCGTAAATGTTTTGTCAAGACTTCTTCGTAAATGTTTTGTCATGACTTCTTCGTAAATGTTTTGTCAAGACTTCTTCGTAAATGTTTTGTCAAGACTTCTTCGTAAATGTTTTGTCATGACTTCTTCGTAAATGTTTTGTCATGACTTCTTCGTAAATGTTTTGTCAAGACTTCTTCGTAAATGTTTTGTCATGACTTCTTCGTAAATGTTTTGTCATGACTTCTTCGTAAATGTTTTGTCATGACTTCTTCGTAAATGTTTTGTCAAGACTTCTTCGTAAATGTTTTGTCAAGACTTCTTCGTAATGTTTTGTCATGACTTCTTCGTAATGTTTTGTTCATGACTTCTTCGTAAATGTTTTGTCAAGACTTCTTCGTAATGAGTGTAAAGGACCCAAAAATAATGTTTAGGGTAGAAGGTTAGATCTAACCTGTTTTCTAACCTGTTTTCTAACCTCATTTCTAACCTCTTGAATTTTCATGATTTCATCGTATATGCTTTGTCAAACATGAACGTAAATGTTTTGTCAAACATGAACGTAAATGTTTTGTCAAGACTTCTTCGTACATGTTTTGTCAAGACTTCTTCGTACATGCTTTGTCAAACATGAACGTAAATGTTTTGTCAAGACTTCTTCATCGTAATGAGCGTAAATCAGACAAAAATAATGTTTAGGGTAGAAGGTTAGATCTAACCTGTTTTCTACCCTCATTTCTACCCTCTTGAATTTTCATGAATTTTCCCGAAATAAAAAATAAAGTTAGTTTTATTTTTTTATTTTTTTTTATTTTGTATAAAAGAACAGAAATGTCAGTCGAAGCAACAACAATTCAAACAACAGCACCAAACTCGTTAGTCATGAATCCAACATCTATGTTAGTAGAAATGAAAAGCTTCATTCCTTCTTCATATACTTTTGAAACAGAAATCCAGAAGATAAAGCAGGAACTTTTAACAAGTACTTTGGACTGTTGTGCGAAAGATGAACAAAATGAACAGTATCTTTACGACATGCAGGACCTGGTGGAACATTTACCCAAATTGCCTGAAATCCAACAACAAAAGCTCACTATTCCTGAATTCGATGAAATTGAAGTGAAACCAACTGACTCAGTAGAAATAAAGAAGTTCATACGAAAGGTAAACTATGAATTCCTTGGATTTCATTGTAACCATAAGGTTATGGACAAAGATTGCGACATGGTATATAAGAACATCTCTGACATATATAAATCTGAAGAATTTAAGACCTACGACAACTTTGTTTCGTTAGTTGCTGAATGTGTATGGCAGATAAGAGATAAAGATAAAAGATGTAAAATATGGAACAAACAAATAAAACCAGCAGCTTTTGAGTTAAAGAAAACCATTGACGCTTTAGTTGTTCTAGCAGGTAAGGTTTCAGAATATAACGCAAAAATGAACCCGCAATGTTCTAAATGTAAAGCGGCAATTAGGAAATATAACTACTCCGTCAAAGAGATAGAAAGAATGAGAAACGACTATGCAGATTTAAAGAAAGAAGCAGAAAAGCCAGCAGAAGATAAAATGGACATGTTAGCATTTCTGAACAAAAACTATCCAACTGCTGACGATTTCCTTCTATCTGACGTCAAGAAGAAATATAAAGAGACTTTCGGCATAGTTAAAACATTCGATGTACTAAAAGAAGAAATAGAAGCTACAAAACTGTTTAGAGTCTCACGAATTCATAACGTTTACCATGTAAAACGCTTATAAAATAACTGGGGTAGAAAAGAGGTTAGAAAACAGGTTAGATCTAACCTTCTACCCTAAAATATATTTTTATTGAATTCAGCAACAAAATTCTGAGTAAAATAATTTTTAGGGCTTGTGTCAAACCGTTGAGTTTTCACAAAATTTAAAAAATAACGTTTACCATGTGAAACGCTTATAAAATAACTGGGGTAGAAAACAGGTGAGAAAACAGGTTAGATCTAACCTTCTACCCTAAAATATATTTTTGTCTGATTTACGCTCATTACGATGAAGAAGTCTTGACAAAACATTTACGAAGAAGTCTTGACAAAACATGTACGAAGAAGTCTTGACAAAACATGTACGATGAAATCATGAAAATTCATGAGGTGAGAAAAGAGGTTAGAAAACAGGTTAGATCTAACCTTCTACCCTAAAATATATTTTTGTCTGATTTACGCTCATTACGATGAAGAAGTCTTGACAAAACATGTACGAAGAAGTCTTGACAAAACATTTACGAAGAAGTCTTGACAAAACATATACGTTCATGTTTGACAAAACATATACGTTCATGTTTGACAAAACATTTACGAAGAAGTCTTGACAAAACATATACGATGAAATCATGAAAATTCATGAGGTGAGAAAAGAGGTTAGAAAACAGGTTAGATCTAACCTTCTACCCTAAAATATATTTTTGCTGAATTCAGCACAAAAATCTGAGTAAAATGGCATAAGATTGCTTCCCTCGGAAAACCTTAGTCGCCAAAACTCTATGAAAACAGTGAAGAACAGCGAGTAGGTAAGAAACCTTAGTCGCCAAAACTCTATGAAAACAGTGAATTTCCTTAAGATAGAAAAAATAAAGTTAGTTTTATTTTTATTTATTTTTTTATCCGGAATATAAAGACAGATATGTCAACAACCGAGAACACAACAACAGTTATAGTCCATGAAGCTATAAATGAAGAATACGAGTACATACAGTATAACAAACAGTTACGTCTCATTCGTTCAGTCAAAGACGATATGTACCAAATGCAAAGTATTTTGACAGCATGTTTTGCTCCAGATACCAAACATACAGACGATTGGTTCAAAAACCAAAGCACACAAGAACTTTTGAGCGAAGCACAGCGACCCCGACTTTTTTCGGGGTCGCCAAAACTCTATGAAAATCGTAAAAATTTGCCAAATGGTTTGAGAGGCTGGTATGTACATAGACTTCTTGTAAATGCTGTTGCAATGTGGGCTTCGCCTCGTTATGCTTGGTATATTTACAGACTTCTTGACGAAATTCATAGACAAGAACGTGAAGAGATGGAAAAGAAACTTCATGCAAAAGATGAAGTCATTGAAGCAAAAGATGAAGTCATTGAAGCAAAAGACAAAAGCCTTCAGAAAAGAATACCACGTTCGGTACCAAAAGGAAAGGAAAAGAACTATAAGTATATGATTTATACTGAAGAGATGGAAAATGAAGAAGACAGAGATATGGTTATGTTGCATTTAGTCAGAAGAAACAACAAAAGCTTTTACGACCTTGCTAAGATTTACAAATCTGACAGAAATTGGTTCTATCGCGAAAAACTTACCGATTTCAATGACACCAAATGAAGATGTGAAACAAATAGTTCAAGATACGTTACCAAACACACTATGATATTAAAGGTTGTACAATACTTACCTTCAAAGAAGATTTGCCATTGTTAAAGGAAAAAATAACAGAGTATTTTGACAACTTCAAACAAGTAGAGTAAATGCACTCTTTATTTTTCAAGCTTGACTTTTTACAATTTGAACTTTGTTTGCGTAGATATGAATTCTGAAAGAAGTATGAGGGTCTTGTATGACTTTGTACTTCTCCCATAGTTCATGTCTGTCAAACTTACCTGCCATGGACTCTTTCATAAGTTCCATGAAATCGTCTTCGGACAATCCGGGGAAAAGTACAATGTCAGTAAGTATTCTCTTTACATCCTTACTTAAACTCTTTGCTGTCTGTACACAAATGACAACTGAGATGTTAAAGTGCCTAAGTTTCTTAAGAATTCGACACATGTCTTGTTCTCTATTCTTTAACAAAGGATGAGAGGCGAAATCATCTAAGATAAGAAGACATCTATGAGGGTAAGTCTTCCAATCGTAAGATTGCAATTTCTTCGAAATGTATTCTATCTCTTTCTGTTTGTTTCTGAAGTGTTTCTTCTCTAATATTCTCTGCATTTCCTCATTTGGGTCTTTAAACTTCGAATTGACATACTCATTTATAGCATTATACTTCAAAACTCTTCTTTGGTACTTCTTTATCCAATCTAACAACTCAGAGTCTTTTATACATACTAACTTAGACTTCTTTATAATATCTTTGAACGAATTGACGGTTTGGTCAAATTGACCAGAAGTACTACAAATAACAACTAACTCATAGAATGGGTTCTTCTCATCTAGTTCTTGTTGTTGTGCAGCCATTTTAAGATAAGTGAAAGTCTTACCCGACCCAGGTGGTGCAATTAGACCTGTTATACCATTCTGAGCAAATAAGAACTTGTCATGTATGGGTTTTATCTGAGCATTTTCCAACTTCCTCTTGTTCTTATTTAAAACATTCTCAATTTCTTGTCAATGTCAGCAAACTTTTTTTCTAACATATTTTTTAGAAAAATTAAAATTTTTATCTTTTTAGAAAATGTCTAGCGATTTCGCTATCTATATTCGAGACAAGCTTTTCGACAGCAAAACATCTGTAGACCATAAAATCTTACATAGTGTAAACAAGAAAGGTGAATTTGTTCTAAAGTTCTGTTTCTGGGAATATGACAAGAACCATAAAACATTAAGCAGAGCAGTCTTAAAATTTGTCAATGACAGACTTGTTGACAGAGATGACGCCTCTTGGAGAGATGAAGTCCAACAAAACTTCTTAGAATGCAAAGAAGACACATCGCTGTTCTTGAAGATGAAATAGAAAACAGAATAGAAGAGCTATTAAGGACAAAGAACTTTTACAAAAATATGGTTCTGAGAAGTTTGACATAACTCCACCAGAAAAGAAGAAGAGAGAAAAGAAAGAAAAGAAAGTAGAAGAAGAGAAGAAAGAACCAGAGCCAGAGAAAAAGAAATTTGACATGTAAAAATAAAATTTTATTTTAGAACATTTCTGGGTCAATGTCAATGTTCTCTTCCTCTTTAGGAGTAAACACTGGCTTAGACTCTAAAATCTTTTACCCAATTTACCTTGAACTTCTACAACTTTAGACTCATAATATTCATAGTCGTCTGCTTTCTTTGGTTCATAAGGTATAACAAGTTTGTATGCTTTGCCTTCTTTAAGGTTTGAAACCTTCTGTCAAAACTTTCTTTGACTGTTAACAAACCTTCTATGTCTAAGTCTTCAAATTTCGCACCATTTTTAGTCACAATAGCAAACTTAACTGGTTCGATGTTCCAAACTTTGCTGAATGAAGACTTTTCAAAATGGTAGAAGTAAACATTCAAATATGTGAATGGGTCTAGTTCTTCTTTAAGTCCTGACATGTACTTGTTTACTGAGATGAATTTCGTCATCTTTTCTATCGGATAAAAAAAATATTTTTTTTTAAATTTACTCAGAAAATTTTTCTGTGTATATACACCATTCTGTACGTCTAAAAGACTTTTGACATTTGCCAAGAATGTTCGTTTAGACGCTGTCATATAACCATATTCTTGACAATATTGTTTTACGAATCGTACAATGACCTTTCATCTAAACACTCAAAGTCAGTTTCATCTATGAACAGTTCATATACACTCTTGTTTGCTTCTAACAATGTTTGTCTCTCTTCGGTATGTGGAATTTGTCTTGGATTGAACTTTGAAATATCTAATGTCATAAAATATGAGAACAAGTGGTTGTAAAAGTCAGATGTCAAAGTTTCTGACAAAGCGTCAAAATATTCTGTATCTTGCATATGAGAATCTGACGTTCTGACAACTACATATCTTCTGTCAGAACTTTCTAACTTCATCGGAACAGCATTGTTTGAAACCATAACGAAGTTTGCAACATTTTCACAAACTCTTTGGTCTTTATATTTCTTTCAACAACTCCAACTTTGTCTGTTATAAGACTCTTCAAAGCATCTGAGTTCAAAACTTTTGTTGTATCTATACTTTGAAGTTCGTTACATACTATAAGTTTCATATTCTCTATTGAGGAGTTAAACTTGCCACAGATGTTTTCTAAGTTTGTCATATTCGGGTTCGAATAGCCCTCTAACAGTTTACATAAGATATCTGTAAAGAATGTGTTCTTACCTGTTCCTTGTTTTCCAATTATAATGAGAGCAGTTTCATTTTTAGCACTTGGATGTTGTAAGATGTTTGCAAACCAACATAAGATATACTCATAAACCTTTTCGTTTCCATTGCATATAATTTCTTTGACATGGTCTAACCAAGCTTCTATAATATTTTCTTTCCATTCTACTTGTTCATATTTATATCCAGTGAAGATAGAATAGAAGTTTGGAGATGGTGTATAAAACTTTATACCACGAACTGAAAAATCTTCTAACTTTGACAATAAGATATCCCAAGCATCTAACATCTTCATGCCAACTTGTACGACTTTTTATTTCTTAAGTTTCTGTTTACATTCTTGTTCTGAAACTATTGTCGCTTTAGGTTTGTTAAAGACTACATCCCATTCTTTCATAACATAACATTCTGGGGCAGAGTCGACATAAATGACTAAACGTTTCAAATTCTCGACTGCTTTGTTATAGTCTCGAAATGGACAATATTTCTGAATGCTTGGAAGTCATAAAAATCTGAAACATCTATTCTGTACATTTTTATAAAAATAAAAAAATATTTTTTTTATTCTTGACTTTGTTGTTCTTGAGCTATTTGTTGCATTTGTTGTTCTTGAGCTATTTGTTGTTGAAGTTGTTCTTGTAATACAATACTTTCACCAGTTGCATCTTCCAATTCGAAACTTTCTGCCGTCATTGACAAATACATAGGACATAAAAGTTTTACAGGAACAAAGTTTGCGTCAACTAAGGTTAAGTTTATGTTTGCTAAAGTGTTTGAGTTTACTAAAGCTGAAAACTCTGCATTCGAATGAACAATAGGCAAACCAGCAGAGAATGTGTTATTTATACGCATAAGTATCTTTTGGTCATAGTAGTTTCTGTCGACATTCGAATAACACTTTGAACCTAAGTTTGAAACAATATATAAAATAGGTGTACTTAAAGTCAATGGAACAGACATTCCTTGTATGACACCTTTTCCTGTTATAGAAACTGTTGGTATAAAACCAGATATAAGTTTTGTATTATAGCTCATATTGTTTATAGTAAACTCAGTCGGACATCCAAAACATAATGAAACCTGCTCTAGTTGCAGCACATGTTACACCCGTACTTAAAGTATTAAATAAGTCAACAAAACCTGTTGGTGGTATATCTGAGTAAGTATCTTCAAAGGAGTATTTTTTACCATTCACAACAATAAAATCTTCTGGTGTCAAAAGAGCAAAACAAGCTTTAGTCGTCATTGTGTTTAAGGTTAGTTTACAATATCGTCCTTGAGGACTTTGTAAGTTTGTTGTTATAGAATTATATGACTCGGGGTTTTTAGTCGTAATAGTATAAACCATTATGTCTTCTGCCATTTACTTAGCAAATAAATTTAATGAAATGTTGTGGTCGTCAAATATTTTTATAACGTCTGGGAAACTATATTTTAAGTTCAACGTTTCACCTCCTTTCATAACGTATATCTTGTCAATGACATTATATGAAACACCACAGCAACTAATGTCGGGTTCTATTTCTTTGATGTTTATATCGTCTGCCTCTGTCAAAAGTTTCAATAGTTTCTTCAAAACTTCATGAGGTGCAATGACATATGAGTTCACTTTTACAGGGTTGTGTTCGACAAGTTTAACATTATACTTAAAGCTTGACAAATCTTCTCCTGAGTTTGAAGTTTGTCTTTCAGTTGTTGGTAGTCGTTTCGAATATCTGCAACAGAACTTAAGTCTCTGCTAACTTCAGGATATGTTGGTTCTTTTACAGGAACAATTGTTATACCATCTTGTCTTCGTATGGTTTCCCCCTTCAACATCTCTGTCTTTGACATTGACAATAACACTTTGACTGTTTGTTTGAGTTGGTGAATTTAACTTCACATCTGCCACCGCCATTAAACCTTTTGAAACACTTACGCTTCTATTTTTCGGAAATGACATTTTACTTAGAATAAAAAGATGGACGTATTCGAGTATCTCTTCGAATTGAAGCAGAACAAAGTTTACACACACAAACAATACAAATACATTGACAGAAATAGTTCTTTATACAAACAATGGTATAGAATAGCAATATTTGCTGAACCAAAATATTTCCATAAAGCAAAGAAAGTTGGTATAACTGAAATGGTGAAAGTTCTTGAAGCAGACAAAAATATAACTTCAAAACTTACAGATATTTCTAAAGGTAAGTTTATAAATACAATATTATGTCAAAACTGGCGTACTGTCAATATTTGACGGAGAGAAGTCAGTTCAAGAACAACTTACTGACCTGCTGCCAAAATCTGCTCGATGGAAGCTGTCGTTATGCCAATCTGAGGAGCCCCAGCAGGTTTCATCGAACGAATCTTCAAAAGAGCATCTTCCGTGAAAAGTGCTATTGGTTTTGTAAACTTCTTTGCTTTCAATTCATCTGGACCGTCTCTGTCACCAGTATATTGTATTTGAACTGTACCAACAGTTGAAATACCACCCATAAAGTCTTCTGAGTCAGCAAATGGAATGCCAAGCCAAAAGTTTGAACGGTCTCCATTTGTATATTGAGTTTTTGACTTCCTGTATGGGTCCATACTTTCACATATGGCATAATAGAACTTTGCATTTCAGGTTAATGGTTGTTGTGAAGTTGTTGTTAAAGTTCATAGCATCTAATGTCAAGTTGTATGACCTCATATCCTCAACTGTAGAATATTCTTCTCTTGGATAATATTTGCCATCTATGTTTATATGATATTTAATACCGGGTTGTAGAAACAAGAATAGTCATTTATAGTTCGTCTGAACAGTACAAACATAGTATCTGCATGTTTCATTGCAGTTGTTAAAGCAATATCTGTTCTTGCACCTGCGGCTCCTGGATTTTGGTTTCCAACTTCACCTGCAAAGTCTTTGACAGATATTTGGTGTATAAGGAACATAAGTGGAACTGCAATATATTTGGCAGCTAAAGCATTTGAAATATCTGGGTCCAACATATAAACGGCAAGTCTGCTTTCTATTCTCTTGCATTCAAATTTTTCGCATGTGAACTTAACTGGGTCCCAGCATCTCCAGCAGCATTGAAATAATAGTTTACTTCAGTGTTGAGGTTTGAGAAACCAAAGTCTAAGTCAACTTTGTCTTTGCAAAAGTCACAGAACTTGGCTCCACCAGTTCCAGCTACAGT